AGACTAGATATAAGGAAGAAATTGTTTACGCTGAGGGTGGTGAAACGCTGGCCCAGGTTGCCCCGAGAGGTGGTGGATGCCCCATGCCTGGAAACATTCAAGGTCAGGTTGGACGGGGCTCTGAGCAACCTGGTCTAGTTGAAGATGTCCCTGCCCACGGCAGGGGGGTTGGACTAGATGACCTTTAGAGGTCCCTTCCAACCCAAACTATTCTGTGATTCTATGATTTCAGGCTACGATGAGCTTTGTGCTTTTCTCTGTAATCATGAGACTGGAAACTTCCCCTTTTCAAATCAAAAGCAGCTGAAACTCTTGCGTGGTCTTTTGACGCAACAAGCAAGGGGGTTCAAAACAAACACCCTGCATCACAAGACTCTCGAGCTAGCCGTGCAGTTCCTTGCAGTGAGCAGTGCAGGGCTGTTTGATGATGGGCAGGATAGAGAGCGCCAGGAATGACAGACTTTGCATTGTGGATGGGCACCTATAAATAAATGGGTTGTGTACTGCAGAGGGGGCAAAGACATGCTATGATACTGCTTTTGCTCCTAGCGTGCAGGACACTGGTCTGTGCAGGAATATCGTTTCCCAATGTGTTCCCCATTAGCCTTCAGCGCTGCGTGAACGGAAGCAGTTCCCGTTTCACGGTGGAGTGCATTAGTGTTATCTGAGCAGCTGGATTGTATGAGACAAAGGAGCAAGTTGGTGCCGAAGCATCTGTCTGGGTGTGCGTTGAGAGAGCTACTGAACAGCTGAGTACACGCACGCGGCTCTCTTTCACACACGTGGCACAACTCCATCAGAGCTGCCCTGCTTGCCGGAGCAGCTTTGCTGGCAGACAGATCTCAGCTCTGCTGAGTAGGAAGAAACTGTTTCAGGGACATGCTCCCTGCAAGGCGGTGCAGGGAGTGGATCCGCCTGTATCTGTGTTTTCCATGTACCTGTGTGGCACACATCATGGTTAGTTATCCCTGGGCAGTGTGTGTTTCTGTAGGGGTGGCTGTGTCGGAGTTACGGAAATCAGGCTGGGCTGGGTGTGTGCTGCTGAGCGATATATGTGAGAGCTGACATGTGTAGGTGGGGATGAGGGGTCCAAGTGCATCTTGCGTCAGCATGGTCCGTGTGTGGGTCAGGTATGGGTGTAAATGGGGGTGCCCCTTGTAGCACGGGGCAGTGTGCACAGGCAGGCAACGGTAGGTGGGGGGGATCCCTTCTCACCTGAGTGTAGACCAGGGGGATGCTGATCCAGTCGTACCCATACAGTCGCCCGCACTGGCTGCGCAAGGTGTTGAGCTCCTGCAGTGGGGAAAAGGAACGGCCTGTCAGCATAACTTTGCATCTCCTTGCTGGGGATGCTGAGCCTCTCCGGCCCTGTTGCCCTTCATTGCTCCAGCCCATTCCCTCCCGCTTACACCTCCTCCGGAAGGGGGGGCTCAGCCAGGACTCCTGCTCCCTTGGTGCCCAGCCTCACCCCAGCAGACCACCAGCAGGGTCTCACGCTTGCCCTGGAGGAACTCCTTGTTGCCTGGGTGTCTCCATCTGAGCCCGAGATCCCTTCCTAGCTCACTTCATAGCAGAGCTTTTCTCCTCACAAAATGAGCAGCCAACAGGTTAGGCAAAAAATGTCTCAGGAGCATCCATTCCTCTCTCCTGACTATATAGTGAGTCTAGATAAATAGCCCAGAGGGAGATCTCTCTCCCCGGGCAGAGGAATCTCACTCCATGCAACAGAAACAATGTGACTTTCTCTGCACATGAATACCAGGAAGGCTGAGCTGCTCTGGACCTTTTTTCTCTGCAGCTGGGCAGGGATAGTTGCCAGGTCTGGCCTGTGGAGCATGGCGTGCTTCCCAGGACTATCGTAAGAGTTTTCAATAGCGATGTTTTCTACAGGGGCCTTGGTTGTTGGCGATGCTTTTGACCTCTCCTGATCTCTTCCAGATATGCGCTACCTTGCAGCTTTCCATCTGCATCCTAGAGACCTCCACTGGCCACTGTCGTTGGCTGCTCTAGAGTGTGTGAAGGCTGGAGGAAGGCTGATCAAGGACCTGCTACATGGGTGTCTCCCATTACCACACCTAGATGTGAGTTCCATGGTCCCCCCCAGGCCCACATTTGAGAAGGATGTCACATTCCCCTCGCCTCTAATATATGTGACATCGCTACTGTGTCAGTAGGCCATGAAAAGCTCTGTTCTGTCACGAGCTGGAAAATGGCAGTGGGGGTATTTCCCCTCAAAGTTAATGTAATATCCCCAGGGACAGGCTTGGCTCACTGTCCTACCTCACCATTCCTATTCCTTGCCTGGCCTCTGGAAATCCCTGTAGTTCCACCCAGAGGACTGGACGAGGATCTCAAAACAGTTGCCTATTGCCTCTGTCACTCACATTCAGGATGCCTTGGAGCAGCACGCTGTCCCGGATCCTCCCCTCGTTCCTTGCCTTCACAGCCAGATTGGAGAACCACACACATGGGATCCAAAACTTGTTGTGGGGGGAATTCAAGCTCTCAAACTTCTTGTGCTCTTCTGGTGTCATGAGGCCTGGGTGGAAAAGAGTAGATGGGAGAGGGATGGCCGTAGAGCGCAGAAAGGAATTGATCTGGTCTGAAATGAAAACATCTAAATCTCAGGTGGTCACCTTAGCTCTCCTTAAAAATCACAGGAAAGACTCGGGCATTCAGCCTTTGGAAGACACATAGGAGGAGAGCAAGTCTTCTTGTTAAAACATTGAGTTATAGAAGTGTGAGAGGCAGGCTTTATCTCATTTCACTTTGGATGTCTGCAGCATACCCGATCAGATCACAGTCAGCAGGGAGATGAAGTACTGCTGAGGGCATAATTGCCTGGTGTACTTAGCCATTTGTTGAGAATGGGATAACTTGTGTCCTAAAAGTGCCTGTTTCTCCCTCTGGATTGCAAAGGGAAATCAGTTGACTAGGGTGGGTGCAGACATCTCCTTTTGGACAGACTGGGAAATGTTGTACCTTGGGGAGCATCTTCAGAGAGGATTCAGGGAGCCCAGCAGTTAAGGTCGGAGGTCTGAGGCTCCAATTCCCACCTGCCCAGTGGAAAACTGTTGCCCTGAGGGAGGACAAACGTAGCACTTGGCAGGGGTCTGCTCGTGCTCTGCTACAGATCTGTGCACAGGGTCACTTACTATAGAGAACTCTTCTCTTCCCATGCACACTTTCAGTGCAGGGTGAGCAGCTCCCAGTGAAGTTGCTGCACCACAGCTACCCTAATCTGATCAGCCAGGGCTGCCCTGTGACCTTGTCATGGTTTAACCCCAGCCGGCAACTGAGCCCC